TGTGTGTGTGTGTGTGTGTGTATGTAAACCTCTTGTAACTTTTGAACGACTTGACCGATTTCATCGCGGTTGGTGGCATTCGAAAGGGCTTCACTAAACTTAGATTTCCTGAAAATTTGAACCGATTCGGACCGGTAGATTTCGAGAAAATCCAAAAAAAGTAAAAAAAAAGTGAAAAAAAAGTTGTTTTTTTTTTAAATTTTTTTTAAATATCTCCGAATTGGCTAAACCAATCGGTCTCAAAATCTAATCAGCTCTTAACCTTGAAAACCCCCATCGATCGCCACCAAAAACGTTAGAATCGATTGATGCGTTCGTGAGATATCGTTGTCGAAAAAAATCGAAAAAAGTGTTTTTTTGTAATAACTTCGACATTCATAGCTCGATCGATTTAAACTTAAAAATTTTTCATGGAGCTTCTGAAACTGCGTCGATTGCCGCCAACCGCGTGAAAATCGGTTCATTTATTCAAAAGTTATAGCAGTTTAAAAATTAAAAAAAATCGTGTTTTATCAAATTTTGATAAGACTTTTGAGTTCGAAGAGCTCAGAAGCTTAAAACAGCTACTTTTTTATAGAGCTCAACTGCGTTGATTGCCGCCAACCACCTGAAAATCGATTCATTCATTCAAAAGTTATTGCCGTTTGAAAATTCAAAAAATTGTGTCTTAAAACTGCTATTAGAGTTTTGAGCTCGAAGAGCTCAAATTGACACAAAAACAATATTTTTGAGCTCGAAGAGCTCAAAAACGTAATGTGTAGTTTGAAGCGTTTAAGTACAAAATGAGCGGGAAGTTGCAGGGATGGCCTTTAGGGTGAACCATTTTTCTAATTTTTTTTTTTTAAATCATTATTTTATTAAGACAACAAAACGAAAAAAAAAATATTCAATTTGTCTATTTGCTTGTACCAACTTTTTAAACAATTAATGTTTAAATTTTTTAGCCAAGCTATTAGACACAATATATCAATACAAAAAAAAACCAAAATTAAAAATTTAGAAAAAAAAATTTTTTTTATAACATTAGCTGGATATATCAATTTTTGATAACTTTGAAAAATCATTATAAACAAATTAAAAAACTTTTATAAACTTTTATTATGCAGTCTTGTTCATTATTTATATAACACGAGCTCCGAAAAGAAAAAAAATTTATAGACACATTTTTTAAACATTTATAAGAGATTTTATCAAAACTCAAGTCTACGAAAAATTAGCTAATTAACAATTGAATAACTTAAACAAAAATCAAGCTAAGAAATTTTTTTTGGCGGCGTTATATTATTTCAAGTGTCGAGCTAACACTATAATTTATTCAGATTTTTAAATTAATATTGAATGTTATAAAAAAATTATTTTCTGTTGCATACTTTGCTTGACGGGGACGCCTATGCACCAAAACGGCCGCGCGGAGCCTAACTTTCAACGTTAAATTGAAATTTTAAATAATGGAGCTACAACTCCGGAAACTATTTTAGTTAGAGACATGGACCAAAGTTCATTTTAAAGGGGATACTTAGGACTATAAAAAATTTTTTTTTCGGGTACAATTTTTGAAAAATCAAAAAGTGGGAAAATTTTGAAATTTAAAAAATCGTGAAAATCAAAGCTCGCTATGAAATTTCTGGCTCATTTTTTTTTACAGAATACCTCTTACTAATCTTAAAATATCCTGAAATTTTCAAGAGGGTGTTCTCTTTTTTTTTCGAAGATATAAATTTTTGAATTTGGGAAAAAAAATTTTTTTTTTTTTTAAACTTCGAATGATGTTAAATTAAATAATTATTTAATTTTGTTATTCTCATTAATAAAAAAGTGCAAATATTATCTGTACTACCATCAAGTTGGTCAACAGAAAAGATTGTAAATATTTTTGGCGCATCACTATACATGATAACAAAGGTGAAAAAATTAACTATTCCGGTAAAAAATTAGCTATTTAACCGGTTTAGCAGTTGGCTAATTAGCTGAGTTAAGCTAGGTTAACCGGTTAATCCGTTGGCTAATTAGCTAAGCTAATTCGGCTAATCGGTTAAATTAACTAAGCTGGCCAACTAACTGGCTAATTAATTTAACTAACTTTTTTAGCCGGCCTAACCGGCCAAATTGTACAGCCCTAGTCTCAATACTTTATTTTTATCAGGGGTTGATTTGACATGGAATGACCCATATATTAAATAATTCGAATCATGATTTTATTAATAAAGCCTGTCCCTTTAAACTTCTGAGTTCCCGGACTAGTGGTTGAAACATACCACTATTTAGAACATACCACTGTTTAGAAAATTAGATCAAATAATTATTTAAAACTGATCAGAAAAAATTATTTATTGTGTCAATAATTTTTTTTCCGACTTTGTGCATTATTTTTTTCTGAGTGACACGTGGCTATAGGTGCGCCTGATCTGGCAACCTTTAAATTTACTAGTTTTGGAAAATTGTGGGTATTGTTCTACTCATTTGACATCACGTGTATCATTATTCCACCGCCCAGTCAATCGGATAAATGTCAAGCATGTGCTAACAGCATCGCCAATAATCATGCTTTCTGTGCTGATTGCCACGCAATTTATCACCCAAGCTGTGCCAGACAAGCTGGGTCTCTTGCTGGTGGTTTATTTCAAAGATGCTGTGGACGTCGTGAATCTAGCTTCTTAGATGACATACGTGAATTACTTTTATCTGAATCAAAACAATTACGAATTGACTTCAAATCCAAATTTACTGCTGCCACCAACAGTATCATTGAACTCAAAATTAAAGTGGATGAGAGTACTAAAATGTTCAATGAGAAAATCAGCATTATTGAAAATGATGACGCTGTTATCAAAAAACGTCTTAATAAAATTGAATCTAAGATTTAAAATTTTTATGGTAAAAATTTTAGTATTAATGCTGAAAATTTAAGTTCCAATATTCTGCGTGAATTTGAAGATAGACTATCGAGAAAGAATAATGCCATTTTTTTTGGTGTTAATGAAGCTGAGTCTAAATCTTACTGAACGTCAAAATAATGATCGTGATATTGTGCTGACCATTTGTCACACAATTGCAGATAACATTACATTCTCTGGATGCACATGCGTTGGCGAATACTCTACGGTCTCTCTTCAACCTCGTCCATTAAAAGTTTCTTTTACTACTCATTTGTATGTCGACCAGATCATATCAAGTCTACTCCGACATAAAAGGTTGAAGAATCCTTCATCTCTGATACGCACTCTATCCATAGATCACGATCGTACCAACATATGCAACAGATGGAACAGAAAAAGATTCGTCAAGAACTCAAAGACAGGACAGCAGCGGGAGATAAGGATCTTCGTATCATTCCGCAAACTGGTCTTCCGACCATCATAGCGACGTATCGTCTTACTTCAGCGTCGACCCCAAAGAATACTTCTTAACCAACACGAGCTATCCTGCTTTTTCAATATATTATCTGAATGTCTAAGATGTGATAGACATAAGATGTTCATAAATTCTGGAGATGATGTACTTTTATCTTATAAATTTATGATCAGTGCTGTGAAAATTGTTTTTGAGAATATAATTTCCTCATTGATGTTTTTTTTTAACATCGATACTAAGTTGCTTTCTATAGCTTTATATTTGCATCTGGATTTAAGTTCACAAATCATCTCGGATTTTCTGGATAACCTCTCGTCCCTCATCTCTTAAGTGACTCATTTATTCATTCGTAAATTTATCTTTCAAGTATGTGTCTTATCTTCATTTTCTCATACGTGATATTTTCTCACTTCTCAGATAGTTTTCATTATTATATAGTTTAGATTTGTCCTAACTTACAGTAAAAACATTTATTATCTTATCTTAAATTATAACATATATTTTCACTTGTACATCGTCTTTCGTAACTATTAGTATAGTAACTATTTTATACTCTATATAATTTTTTTTGTGACCTTGTTAGTCGCCTTCCAGCTGTTGGGTCTTATTAAAATGAAATAAATAAATTTCAAAATTGCATTTTGGACAGTAAAAAATTTTGCGTCATTGCGTCAAAAATTTTGTGTTAAATATTTAAACTTCTTTTGTTGTGATCTTAGAAAATTAATACAAAAGTTTTAAATCTACACATAAAAGTGTT